GGAAGTAACTGAAAGAAATGAGAGCAAAAAAAGATTCAATGGAAGAGCAAAATATGCGTACAGCACATTTTTGTGATCACCAAATATGACACTGACGGCCACCACAAAATCAGAGTAAAGTACTGCAGAAGTTTTTTTTTTGCTTCCCTCCCCCCATCTCCTCTGTCGTTCCCCTCCAATAGCATCTACTGCCCATATAGACACCATTCTGTTTCATACAGCCATTTTATTCGCTGAATCATTCAAATTTGACTTACGGCACACAGATATTCCGCTTAAGAGACAGCTAAATATTTAAACTTTTTTTTTTTCATTTGACAATGTAACACTGAAATCGTTCGTTTTATTTCAGTGGTTTTCAAAATTTGACCAGCAAATTGTTTTGCTGTTTTTATTGGTTTGCAAAAGTTTCCTTTTTGGAATTTAGGAAAAAAAAAAAGAAAACTGAAAAATTTAAATCAACTTTTTTGGATTATTGCTGCAGCAACAGATTTTTTTTTTATTGTTGCTGTTATACTGTAGAAATTCTATAAATATTTTTACTAGCAAAAAAATAAATCAGACTATTTACACAGTTTCAGCATAGCAATAATCATTTTCAAGTGAATATTGTTATCAGAATACACCATATATCACTAATTTATTTTACAGCTATGCATCTATTATTATGTTTTTAATTTTTAATCAACAATACATGCAATATTTATATATATAAAAAACAGGTAATTTTATTGAATAAATCCCACTGTTTATGGCAACTGTTTGTTAGCAAATTTAAATCTCTGTCTACTCCTTTGTTCAACAACTTAAACTTTCAGTTATTTTTGCATTAATTATTGTAATTGTAAATTTCCAAAAATCTATTTCACTTTTTTTTTTCTGCTTTCTGCTTTAGTGGTTTATACCAGTAATACTTAAGTGATTGATGAATATTTGGTCAAAAACAACATGCTTTTTTCTTTTATTTTTCTAAATTGGTTATCTGAATAATTCGCTGGAAAAATTATCGTAATAATAAAGCTAATACATTTATTTCATACTATCAAAACTTAATCTCACATTCCATTATAGGGACGTTAGATTGGACAACATCAGATGAACACCAGAAATGCATGGCACTACATCATCCAAGATTAATCTTGGATAAAGCACAGCACATACAATGTTAACAGTACTGCAAATATCATTTTTACTGTATTTTATTTTAAACTAAATTTTGACAAAAGGAATAAGTTTTCAAATGAAATTTATGGATGAAAAATGGTTGTCACTTCTCTTTTCTAAAATTAAAGTAAAATAAATGCTAATTGTCTCAGTGCAGCATTAATCAGAACAATTTTTTTTCTTTTTTACTCTCATTAGTTTCAAATAAGCTTTCAAAAAAAGTTTTTTAAATTTGTACACTTGTTTAATATAGACGAGTAAAAAGCTATAGCAATTAGAAAATTTAGAAATTTCAATAAAATATTTGTCAACTTTTACATCAATTCCTTTTCTCTCCACCCTTCAAATTGGTACTGTAAAATGATAAAAATAAACTTTTATAGCTTAAATTTTTAATAAATGTTACTGATAAATATAAAATAAGAAAGCATTTTTGTTTTCACTGTCATTTGGAATAATCAATCAAAAACAAAAAAAAAGCCTTTTTTTTTTCTTAAATATTCCTTAAGTGGTTACACTTTTTGGATGGTTTTTGGTGAATGGAATTGATCTGTCATTTGGCAACTTTTATTTTTCAGTACTGCAACATATTTGTTCCCCATAATGAACAAGAAAAAAAAAAAAA